AAGATCCCACGTGTGCTTTCTCTATATCACTACTTTGATCTAGTCCATCATTAACAATATTTTTCCTGGGATTCCATCTCAGAGTGAAAACTGAGATAAATTTAGGTGTATAATTGTAAGCTTTGTAATCTTGTTCTTAAAAATGTAGTTGTATCACGATAAAACATTAATAAACTATGATTTTTTTCCAACATTCCATTAGCAAAATAGAATATGGATATAACCCTCTCAAGCAAAAATAACCCATTTTCCTTCCTTTGTAATGATCCGGTATTTCTCAAGTGTGTATTGCATAAAGTGAAAATATATATTAACATATGAATTAATTCAGTTGTACATAAAATCACCTCATGGCTTCTTAACTAATTTTTTAAAGTATTAAAACAATACCGCTGTAGGCCATAAAAGGTTTTATTACAAGGTGAAGCTTTCGACGACAAAACCGAACGCCGAAACTCTAACAACAAGCTAGGACATACTTTAAAAATGCCGAACGTAGTGAAGTGGAGGTCTAAGTTGGGTAAAAAGGGGGATAACCAGGATTCACAATCCAAAAGGTCGAAATCGCAGGAGGATACCAAACAAGACGGTGCAGCAAGGGACAACTGAGAGGCATTTCAGCACTATGCGATGAGACAGACAAAATCATGACAAGTTAACCACACATAAATGCATATAGTAGTAAAAGACAATTATACAATAACATACAATTTAAAAGATAAGATAAAGGGTATAATTATAATAAAATACAAATGAAATAAGAGATACAAAAGGGATATACTACTAATGTAAAACAGAGGTTAAACGTCATCCGATATCAAGTTTTGTGTGTGTTTTCGGATTTTCCATCTGAAGATAAGAAACAGCTACAGCAATAATGCTTAATTTTCAGATTTCATTGCCGTGTAAAAGAAGGTTTTTAAGCGTGCATAAATTAGTAGAATAAATGAAATGCGTGTTTGTAAAGCCGTCAACAAAGATTTTGAGTACTTTCGCTGTGTAACGAGCACGAAAAAACATACATAGTTTTCAGATTTTTCTTTTCATAGTTATAATAAATGTTATATTTATAATTAATTGAGATGTGAAAGCAAAACGATAAGTAAATTAGGGGAAGGGGGTGGCTAGCTCTCCATGCAAAAGAAAACAGTTTACATTAAACTGTAATCATATTATGTTACAGGTCATATACACTCATGTCCATAAATTAATGATAATGCAAAATCAGGCAAAGGAAGAGTTAGAAGCAACCAAATTTTGACTGTTTGTAAGCTTATTTATTAACAAAGTAAAGAGCAAAAAAGATGCTATATGTTTGCTATTTAAAAATTAGCAATTTTTTCTCCCTGGAGCAAATTAAACAAAAAAAAAAAAAAAAAAAAAAAAGAAAAAAAACTATTTAAAAAAACCCATATTACATGGTTGGTTGATTGTTACTACATTGTATGTCTCCCAGACGATGCAATACATTCCTGTACAACGCCTAGGACATCTGAGTATCAAACTATCGATCTGATCTTGGGGGATATTACACCACTCAAAAGCAATGCACTCCGAAGTTCCGGTAGACATGTAGGAGGATGTTGACGAGCTGCAACTCGTCGGCTAAGCATGTACCACACGTGCTCTACTGTATTCAAGTCCAGTGAGAATGCTGGTCAGTCCATATGGGTGATATCCTCAGATTGAAGGCATTCGCTTACGATGTTTGCACTGTGAGGACGGGCGTTGTCATCCATAAACACAAATTGTGCGCCCATGGCGCCCTGAAACAAACGTACATGTTGTTCCAGAATGACGTCCCGATAGATTTGGCTTGTCATGGTTGATATTTGAACATGCAGGTCAGTTCTGGAACCTAGAATAATTCCACCCCAAACGAGCACTCCTGCACCACCGTAACGGCGTCCTTTAATGATGTTTTCTTGGTGGTAACGGGTACCTGGAGCTCTCCATATGAACGTCCGACAAGAATCAGACTGCAAGCTAAACTTGGACTTGTCGGAAAACATCACACAAGCCCACTGTTACGGTGTCCACAATGCATGCTCTCTACTCCAGGCTAACCGCAGGCGACAGTGAGTTGCGATAAGCGGAACGCATCTGACAGGTCTACGAACATATAGACAATCTGCCCTAAGCGTCTGTACACGGTCTGCCTTGAAATTGTCGTACCAGTGGCTGAAGAGAGCTGACGAGACAGTCTGAGCTGTGCTCCGCCTGTTTCTTTTGGCAGTACTGCCAATACCGATCCACATTCGGCGATGTAACTCTGGGGCGACCTGTGCTGTAACGTCTACTCACATTACTATCATCTTGGAATCGTTGCCAAAGTCTGGAGATGACACTCTGGGAATTTCAAGTTCGTCTGATACTTCCAGTTGGTACGCCCACATTCCGACGGCCGATAATATAACACGTAAAAAATCATCCAATGCGTCCTTTGTGTAATAATTATTTGGTTAACACTGAAATGCTTATAAAGCGCGCCTGCGAACAATGTTACTTCTTTGCCTGTATTCCTTATATATTACTCTCTTACACTCTCGTCATTGTGACGTACCATCGGTGTCATCTGGTTACTTCCTGAAATTTGCATATGATTCTTGAAGATGTGTGTAGTGATTTCACAGGTGATATATTTATTTTAGAGTTCGATTTCCGCGTGACTCCGAATTATCCTTAATTTATGGACATGAGTGTATATTATACGTAGGTTTTTTTTTCAACCTCCGATCACACAGTATGATGGCCAGGTATGCGGCATGTGGTTGGTGTGCGTAGTAGGCGACTGCGCATCTTCCCCTCCACACACTCTGTCACTGACGTATTCAACACGCTATTTTCTGTTGAGTTGCAGTCACGTAAACATGGCTGTCGCTATTCGTATATTTAACTTTATTTTATTTTCCGTTCAACTAAATATTTAATAACAGGATTTGATTTTTAGTCAGATTTGTGGTGCGAGTTTTAAGAATAACAATGCACAATTTAAATATATTTTTTTTACCATTGTTCATTCAAATTAAAGTTTTTTTATCAGTAGTATTTATAACATGAAAATTTAGAGAATTATATATATTTAGAGTAACTCAAGTATAATCAGTTTATGGTTTAAATGCTTAGTTACTGTTTTTTTGTTCACGGTAGTTTTGAAGATAGCATGCAATTACATAATGTAGAAATTATTCCAATTATATAACGTAGAAATAAAATGAAATGGCGTGAAAAGTAAAGGAAAAAACGGCACGAAGAATCAGCGGTCTTTAATTTACTTTTGACAGGAACGAAACTAGGCGTGATTAGGTTCTGCCTCATTGGCTAAAGAGCGCGTCAATCTTTCTAGGCCACGACTACCCCCCCCTTTTAGCTTCACTTGGACTGGGCTAGTGCCTCCTAGATATACAATCTAGGGTGCAGATCATTTCCATGTATTCTCCGATTTTTGGCGCATGAACAGATCTTTAAAATGGTCGCTCTACGATAGGGGTCTTCAATATTTCACGCCCAAGCGTCACATCAATAAATTCATAAAGATCCGCGGGCCACATGTCTGCCAAAAAAGAGTGTAGTCAGAAAATTTATATAAAAAAGGAAGGTTTGTAATGCAAGGCTACAATTGATTCTAAGCGAAGAGATAGTGTTACAGATTTATATATATATATATATGTACATTGGTTCCCAAAAGTTAAATGGAAATCGAATTAAAATGTTTTGCAACTTTATTTTAATTATGAAAAAAAAAAAAAAAAGATGATTGTACAGAACGAGATTACAAAATGCAATTACAATAAAAAAAGGAAGAAAAAACTTGCATTACTGGTGGGAGATGGTAATTATTTTAGTTTTAATCTGTGTTGTTGAAATTCGTAAAGTTTCCTCCATATGTCTGTAAGCCGTGTTTTTGTTTTAGATTTTAGGATTTTCATTTTACAAAAAGCTGTTCACATATGTATGTACTGCCAAAGATAGAAGACATGAAGAGTGCGTGTTTACGAATTCCTGTAGTCTTTGGTCACGTACTTCGAATAAAACTCAATTAATATAGGATTTTCAAGAAACTTGCATTTTACTGTAGAGTCGCACTGAAAATCTATAAATTCTAATTGAAGTTCAGGTGGAACACTTCCAACGTCTACTGAAAATGGTAAGGAGAATATTCGGATATTCTCCTAAAAATTCATTTTCACGAAAATCGGAAAACTACTTTTGAATTCCTCTTTAAAATTTGAAATGCAATGCATGGCATAATTATTTGAATTCCATGTTGTAGAGTTCTTCACACACTCCATCAATTTTGGAAAGTGAGTGGAATTCTTACTTAGCAACTGACTTTTCCACAGTATTAATTTTGTTTCAAAAGCTTTCACAAAGTAATAAAGATTATGAACAAGTAGATCTTTTCCCAGTCAGCGGTAGTTCAAACCCTTGAGATGACCTGTAATATCGATAAGAAATGCAAAGGTCTCTCAACCATTTTTCATCACTAAACTCATGCGGCACCTTGAGCGGCACGCTCTAATCTTTGGCGAAATATCGACGAAAGATTGACATTTGTTGCAAACCTGTTAGAGATAAGAATCTACCCTTTTTATGGAATTTAGATTTTATGCCTAGTCAAATTTTTTATTTTTAAAATTACATAAGATAAAGTGAAATTTTTGAAAATTCGTCATTTTGAGAAAATTTTATCTCAAGTATTATCAGGTATGTCATTAAAATGTTTGAATATCAAGAATAAGAAATAAAATCAAGAATAAAAAAAAATTTAAAAAAACGTTTTTTATGACAAGCAATTTTTCTTAAAATCAAAATTTATTAAAATTCTTCAATTTTTCTTCAAATTCAAATTTGGGGCCACCAAAATGCCTTCGGTGGGCCCTACGTGGCCCGTGGGCCATGGGTTGAAGACCTCTACTGTACGAGAAAATCGCTACGGGTAGACGGGCCTTTAAACTGTAACCATATGAAATATGTTAATGTTTGTAAACAAGCGGCGGTTTTCGTTTTCGTATCTGACATCGTAGTTCAGTTGTCTTTGAATTTTAAGAAAATGCGCGGTAAAAATGCTGCGTTCTGTACTATATTGCTATCGTTTATAAACCTTATCATAATTTTATTGGGCATTGCTGTGTTTCGAGCTTTAATTTTGCATGAAGATGAAATATTAGACATTTGCAATTCTGGCGATGTGGATTATATTCCAGATAACAGAGGAATTTCAGGGCGATTTTCTGAAGCTTTAAAGTTTCAAACAATAAATTATGGTTTTCACAATTACAATCGAGATGCCTTGTCAAATTTTATTTCTTTTCTCACAATAAGTAAGTTATACTTAAACTGTTTTTTAGTTATACAAAAGTGTATTATGCCTGGACTTACAACAGCACTTCGTTGCATGTTTCATAAATAAAATATAGTATTGTTTTTATGTTATTTTTCAATGATTTATAATTGTAAAATTAACTTTTCTAACTTAGGGACTAGTATTTGGCCTTTTTTTTTTTTAATGATTAAATTATTTAATTTGGGCATTGATTGTAGTTTTCACCTTGAATGTCTTTGATATCTATGCAATGTAAGTTTTACTTTCAAACCCTGTAACTGGGGAAATTTAATTGAAAAATTCAGACATTTTAGTGAAAGACATTTAGCATTTGAAATCCTGTATTTTGTCAATACCAGATATGCCCATTTACAAGAAGGTATCTTTAACACATTCCCTATATATGTTAATTAAAAGAATGAAAAGTTGTAATACAACGTCTTAAAATTTTATGTCATAGATTAGGTAACAATGAAATTAGAAGTGTAGTATAATAAAACAGCAGCTATCCAAACTCTTTAAATATTTGGTTTATTTATTTTATGTATTTATTTTTAAGAACAAGCAAAGATAAAGCTTTTTAATTTATTCATGTATTTTCAGTGTTTACGTGAATTTAAATAATGTAAAAATTATGCTCTTCATTTTATAGCATATATAAATCAAAGGTAATTTCTTTCTTTTAATTTAGTTGAAAAAGAAATAACTTTAGAGACAAAAATTTATCTGTTTAATTTTGTGAAAGACTGTCTTTTTTCTTTTATGGAAATAAAACTATTTTCTTTTTCTAACTGAATAATATTTATTAGAATAAAACATGATAAATGAACAAAAGAGGATTATCTTACTTGCATAATTGTAAATACATATTTGGTGTAATTTGGGGAGGAGAGGACATCAAAGATCCAAATTTTCCAAGTTCATGAGTTGTGATTTTAGTTAGTTTGTATATTTAAAGTTTTAACTTTTGCTAAAGTTGCATGGTATGGTCTTGTATTTTGAGCTTGTTATTATTTTGTTGTGAGTACCATCATTTGAGTATGTCTGAGGTGACTAAGAGGATGAATGTTGATGGGTTGGATTACTATGAAATTGTGAATTTGAGTTTTTTTTTTTTTTTTTTTTTGTATGTGTTTGATGATGAATGAAAGATGTCTGATTTTTGCATGAAAGCTGGTTTAATTGCTGATAGATATGAATAAGCTGAAAAATGTAATTGAATTGCTTATGTGGAGGATGGAGGAGATAGTGGTGGGAAGCCTAAACGTATGCTCGTGAAAAAAAGGTATGTTAAAAAATTGACATTTCATTTATTTATTCGTCTCTTTGTGTAATATTGTTAAAAGATTGTGTTTTAATGTTGATTATGGTATTTTATTTATCATCATTTTGTGTATTTTTGTTGTTTTGTTTCTGAGTGTAAGATAGCGGCGAATTTTTTTCTGGTTAATATGTAGTTTAACTTCGTTTAGCTTCCTGATTTTGTTATGTGAAAATAGATGGCATACATGACAAGTGAGCATGTGAAATCTCTGATTTTTTTTCAAGTTAAAATAAGTCGATTACATGAACAAAGTTAAGGCAGTGTGCAGTGTCTAGTTTATGCAATTATCTGATTTTTTTTTTTTTTTTTTTTTTTTTTTTGTAAATACATATTAAGTTAAAATAGGTCGATGTGTACATGGACACTGAGTTTGTGGAAGTGTTTCACTTCTTATTTTGGTTTTGTGTAGCAGGTGAAAGAATCAGCACCATCTTGAAATTGGTGCTGATCTTTCCTGGCACTGATTGTGGCTTCAAAAAAGAAACAATTTGCCAAAAGGTGCTGTAGAGTAAATTTTTACTGCATCTTCTTCTTCATTTTTACATTAAGTTGTGTTAGCATATAGAAATTGAATATGAGTGAATTTGAAATTTTTTTTTCAGTCATTTTGATTTTAAATTATGAGAAGTGTCCTTAAATTGTATAGAAATGAAGAACTAATTGCTGCAAAGTGTAAATACTCCATTTACAAAAGTGAGAGAACATTTTCGGAGCTTATAAAGTATCATCATCGAAGACAAGTTCCAAATTTATTTGGCTTTTACTTTGATGAATTTGTATGGTTGATAATGTATATGAACAGTACTGAGATACTTTATCCTACATTTTTACAGTACATTGAAATTATTTACAAACCATGGCTTGCAGATCAGGAAACTAACTAAATATAAGTTTTACTTTATGTTTGTTTCATTCTTAATTGCTATTTCCAACATTAAAAAAAAAAAAAAAAAAAAAAAAAAAAAAGGTTAATCTTTGGATTATGGTAACTTGGCGATTTTTTGGCAAAAATTTGGCAACCAACCCTGCTACAGCAACCTGCTAGTTTTGTTTTGGACGCCATTTTGTTTTCACAAAGTAAAATCGTGTATTTTTTTTTTTTTTTTTAACTCAGCATTTTTTTCCAACAATCTGCTAGCCGAATTACTCTTATACTAGAACTTTTATGGAACAAAAGTGCTTAATCATGACGAAGATTAGGTGCGGATTGGGAGAAAGTGCAGAATCGCAAACTGCTTGCCGCGTTTTTAAGAATTGCACATACACGGTATCATCCTGAAACGTCGACCTATTTTCACTTAAAAAAACATCCCAGAATTGCAAAAAAATGGCATTGTGCACACTCTTGACTTTATCCATGTACACTGCTAAAGTCCTAGCTAGTAACCTTTATCGCCTTACAAAAATGTCACCAATTCCAAAGATTAGCCAAAAAAAATTATCAGTGTGTTGCCTCTTCTTGATATTACTATCAAGTTACTGTTTCAAATTTTTTTTCCTTGGCAGATCAATTTTGCATCAAGGCTAAAATGCTGCAGTTCCTGTTTCTCACCAATCTGCTGTAACTGTTAAGCATCAAATCACTAACACCTTATACAAGAGAGAAGACATACACACCATAGTGAAACAAAAAATTAGGCAAAGCAACAATCTAGTATTAATTCAGAAGTCAAACAACAAAAATCAGTGTTATGTTTTCAAATTTTCACAGGACTAGTTTCGATGGTTTTACTGAACCATCATCCTCAGCTGTAAAAGCGCAAATGAATGAGATAAGATATAATTAGATAAGATAAGAAAGACAGGACAGGAGTTAAGCTACTGGCACCATCTGTTGATGAAATGAGAACTAAAACATATTTTCCTTAAGTTCTAATGACAAAGATGGATTGGAATTAGGGTTGTTAACTAGAACAGAAAGATTTTTTTAAAATGTGAAATGCCTCTAGAAATGGAAGAGGAAAGGGAAGCTCTTCTACACACTATTGGCCATATATCATGAGACTAACGACTAAAGGAATATTGCTCTGATAAGTTTTATCTTGCATTTCTGGCATACTGAGGAAGCTAAGCCAAAATTACATTAGTTGAGTTATTAATTATACTTAATGTCTATTTCCTACACATGTTTAAAGCTTATCAAAGTCCCTAATAAATAATTTCCCGTATATGCTTAAGGCTTATCTAGGGCCAGTGCTAGACATTTTGCTGCTCATGCAGTCAGTGCAGATCTTAAATTATGCTGCCAAGTGCACTGCGCAGAAAAAAAAAGGGGGGACAGTTCTATTGAGCCGATTGACGAAACTCAAATTGTGTTTTTCATGTCTCGAAAGCACAACTTATTATATATATTAGATTTATATATAGCATTGTTATAACATAGGTATTTTGACACAAAATGGGACTTTTTCTGAAATAACGTACCAATTTTTTTCCGTATTTCGATTCTACAACCCAAATTATACCTAATTATTCAATTTTGTAAAATTTGGTGTAAAATTTACATAGAAATTCAAAAATTTAACTTGGTGCATTTTTTTTAAGGTTATGCTAAGAAAAATTCACTTGGTGAACTTCTTAATATACGGCAACCTATTTTTCTTTCCATTCCATTGTCCGGGAGTGGGGGAGGGGAAAAGTCACATTGTTCTTACTTTCAAATAATTTTAACAATGTGCCTAAACCACATTTGATGTTATGATCGCTTTCAACAAATGTGCCAAATTTCAAAACACTCCAATACAGTCAAAAGTTTTTAATCTGGACTTGCCGGGACTTCGGCGATTCTGGATTATCGATTTTTCCGGATTATAGATCATCAGTTTAAATCTGGTAAGATGGCATGCAGAAATTATAAAATTAAACATATGAAACCGTAATTATGAAATAAAGAGCCATTATTATCTAAAGGGTAAAAAAATTTACAAAAAAAAAAAAAAGCTTAATATTTATTTGTTTACTTTATTAAACATTTCTTTCAACGCGTGCATGCATAAAGCATACCTTATGCATACTTGAAATTATAAAATTGCAACCAGAAAACTATGTGTACTCGTGATATTTATAATGACGAGGAATTTGATTTAAATCATATCAAAGATGGAGTACTTCGAGATGAAATACTACATTTAGTAAGGAATTATAAGCGGAATAAAATAAAAACATGTGCCCTGAAGATAAGGATAGTGCTGACAGATGAACTTCCAGTTCATTGCGCGCTGCGACCCTCCCCCCCCCCCCCCCGCAAAGCAACGTGAAACTGATAAACAGATTTCGGAATGGTTAGAGAAGCAAAGGATATGCCTTTATCCATTTTTTGCAGCAATTCCACTTTTTGTTTGATGGACATCGAAACATACTTTTGCTTTGTAGATCCTTTACATATTAGTGAACATATATCGCAAATTCTATTTGACATAATCGAAAGTTCAAGTTTACTTTTATAAAATTGCTAACAGTATGCAAAAAATAATAAGCCAGATCCAATTTGAAGATTAAGGAAAAATGCAATCTGCAACATTAACTGAAATAGATAATTGGATAATTTTAGCTTATACCATCCGTTATACATTAAATGCACATGCATAAACATATTATGCACATGCGCACACGCATATGTGCAGTTGAAAATGTCTAATGCGCATGTTTAAATGCCTATGCGCATGCGTCAAAGAGACGCATGCGCAGAAAGTTTGTAGCCTTGAGGTCCAGATTATAGATCATTCCGGATTATGGATGTCCAAATTAACGACTTTGGACTGTATATAAATTCACGTATATCTTCGGAAATTTTGAATAAAAAATCCTAATTTTTTTCAGGTATGCATAGAAATACATCTACTTTAAGATGATGGTAAACATTTTATACATTATTCAAAAAGTTTTTTTCGAAAAATTTATAAAAATTATTTAAAAATAAAAAAAAAAAAAAAAAAAAAAAAAAAAAAAAAAAAAATCTGAAATGTTTCAGATTTTAAATTACGTCCAAAGGGGCGTTTTTTAACATTTTGTGTGTACCTTTCTTTATTAAATATCATGTTCCTCGCAATTTTAAACCATAAGATCCAGTGCAACAGCAATATCGCCAAAATAGTTTTAAAACGAGCATATCTTTAGAATTTCCGATACAGAGACTCACGCGCTGGAGATAAAATGTTTTTTTTCTGGCACAACGTTGCCATTGCTCGCTTTGAAATCCTTGAGTTTGTTAATCAAAAATTCGTCAAAGTTTTAAAAATAGGAAATCGATCATAAAACAAATTTCAAATTCAAATTTGGTCTTCCACATGCTCATATTCGTTGGAGGATTACGTTATTCGAAATTCGATGACTCTATGTACCGTTGTTTTATCACAATACGAGAATATACATACATTTATGCAGATTTTTCATTATTTAATTTCTTCAAATATAATGCAGGACTCTAACATTTTGTGGCAACAGTTTGAAAAGTGAACCGACATTTATGAATCCGACGCAAAATGCCAAAACGAAACTAATAGTCCTTCGGGATTCAAATCCCTTTGGACTAAAAAAAAAAAAAAAAAAATCATAAACACTGGTCGAATATTATCTGGAATGAACCTAAATTTTGAAATGTGAAAGGTAGAATCAAATAAATTTAATAAAAAAAAAAGCTATTTGTAAATGTATTCCATACTCAATTAACATTAAGGAGCTAAAATTTGAAGGGCTAATGTTTTAAAAACTACTTCTGTAATTTTTACAAAATGTGGCATTTTGGTATAATTTGAGTCATAGAATTAAAATATGGAAAAAAAATTGGCATGTCATTTCAGAAAAAGTCCGATTTTGTGTCAAAATACCTATATTAGAACAATGCTATATATAACTCTAATACACGCTTATAAGTCACGCTTTCGAGACATGAAAAACACAAGTTGAATTTCGACAATCTGCCCAGTAGAGTGGGAAATATAGAACTGGTCCTTTTGGGGGGGGCACAGGGTACCTCTTGTTATTCTCAAGATTTTTAACACCCATTAGTTTTGTTGCTCGATGTTTCTGTAAATCTGAAAAATTTTGCCACCCAGGTCTGCCACACTGCCTGTGGCGACAGCCCTGGGTTTATCTGAATAACAGATTAGTTATTTTAAATTCAAACAGTACTAAATTTAGTCTTTCATCCTATGAGTATTTTTTACAAAATCAGTTTGTTATGTATGGAAAGATATTTCTGTTGAATTTCTCCTCTGCACGCTCAACACTTCGCAGCACAGTTGATTCAGGTCCTTAATTGTCAGGAAGGATAATGTAATCATAATAAGCTGTTTGGTATTCAATTATTAATATTAAAAATGTGTTTTAGACATTGCTGCATGAGTCATTTTTCAAGCTGCAATGGATTAATAGTCGTTTGGTGATTAAAAAAAAAAAAAGGAATAATGAAAAATAATTCTCCAGTTTGGCATTATTAATATAAGTTATTCAGTAGGTGTAAATTCAGCGATAAACTTTGGTAGTGTTTCAGTCTAAGTTGTATGCCAAGCAAAAAGGCAGCTATAGAGTGAAATTATTGGTCATGCATATTTATCGCGATAAGTGATTATATTTCTTTAACATGGAGGTATTTTATTTAGTGCAAAAGTGAAGTTAAGAATCGGACCGTCTACTTATTATATCATGAAAAACATCAAACGCATATACATAAAAGCATTATGTATATAAAGAAAAGAATTGCTGGTGGTCCGGAGGTTTAGATTTTTAGATTATTTCTGATATTGGACGTCCAGATTTCAGACTTTGTACTTTATTCATACATTTTTATTAATATTTAACTTGTATAACTTTTCAATTAAATCATAAATATAATTTTATTTTACACTATAGTGAGAGATGATAATTAATAAATATTAAATTCTCTTTAAAGCCCTGATACCTCCTCTTTTTTTTTTTTTTTTTTTTTTTTTTTAATCAAGCAGCACTCTTGTTACACACTTTTGGGGGGCTGATGAAGCACACAGATCCAAAAGAAATTTTAGACTTATTATCTGTATGGAAGTCAGTAATATTTGTTTAGATGGAAATCGAATTTTAATTGTGTAAAAATGAAAAATTTGTAATCTGCTAGCTGTTTTTATACTGTTACTTTTATTGAAGAATCATTAGTTATTTTAAAGGTGTATAAAATTTATGCTCGAATTGTTATCCTAATGTTAAATCATTATCTAATTTTCAATTAATCATGGTTATCCTAATGTTTTATAACTTCTTTTTGGTATTTTTCTGTTAATGGACTACCATTTAGAACCAAATATAAACATTCTTGCAAAACCTAAATAGATAACTAGATGGTGGCGAACTTAAAAATATGTGAAGTTCTAATTGTGAAAAAAATTGTGAACTTGTAATAACAATAATTGATCACATAATGTGTTCAATGAAAAAAATAACTTTGTAGTAATAGTAATGTATCATATAATGTAATATATTAATGTGCATAATGCTAAAGCTGTGAGTGATGCCAAATTTGTGCATTTCTCTGATTTTTTAAGCCAAAACACAATGACGGGTACATGGGAAGAACAGTTCTCTCTCCATGTTTTCTCTTAAAGAAAACCTCAAAGATTGGATCAAATTTGGCATTATGCAGAGCTTTGGCATTGCCCATATTAAATGTTTCATAATTATTCATGACACATTATAAACAGGCACAATATAAACATTTGGGGATTGGCACTCTTTTTACAGAAAAGTGCCCCTTTTTTATATTGGTAGCTATGAAATTTTACTCTAAAATATTTTAGCTGCTAGAAGATGAGGTAGATAAAAGAAATCAGGCTGGACGGATTATAGTTCAGATCGTCGTATTTTATCGTGACTGTAGACTTTTTTCTTAAAACATTTCTGGAGAGCTGCTTAGAGCCACATTGAGTCTTATTATCACAGTTTTATTATTTTCAATGTTTGCCTATCTTCCTCAAATTTTAAGCACTTATTTAGCTTGTTTATTCATAATCCCACGAAAGACTTCTGTTTTTCCTATTGAGTAAGTTATTATTTTGCTGTGCTATTCAGTGACTAATTAAATTAACTATTTCTGTAAGTATGTCATTCACTTTGTAATAATTATTTTTCTGTTTTGTAGGTTTTCCATTTGTGCATTCATCACCACTAGTTTCAAGAGAAGTTGTTAATAATCTCAGTTTACTATACTATGTTCAAGGCAGCAATAAAAAACTGAAACCCTATTTATTATCTGGACATTTAGATGTTGTACCTGTCGAAGAATCACAGTGGGAAGTACCTCCTTTCAGTGGCTTAATCAAGGATGGTTATATATGGGGTAGAGGTTCAATAGATTGCAAACATATAGTAATGGTAATAATGTTTTGATTCTAATATGTAACATACAAGAAAGTATTTCCCAGTTAAGCTTAATAACGGAACTTTTTGTTTAATGTAACATAATTCGATAATTATTTTTAACATGCCACATACAAAAAATAATGCAAATTGGAAGAAAAATTAGTTTGGTTTAAAATCAAATTTCTCTAAATTAAGTTATATTTCTCAAGTTGAAGGAAATTGCATTTATGTCTGATTAATAAATTCAGCAGAAAGCTTTCAAATGCAATAATAAAACTTTTTCAAGAATTTGCCATGCAAAGGAAGATTGTTGTCTTTAGTTGATAGGTTGAATTTGGATACCAAATAGAAATCCATCATTGCTTTTTAATATTGCCTGTGATCCTCTAGCTTCCTACTGGTAAGCTAAACTACGAACAACATGACATTAGTAGCAAGAGTCTTCAAACAAAATACTGCATATATAGGTATCAGTTTTTCAAATTAAACTGATGAAAGGTATTTAAAAAGCATTAAAAATGTAACTTTTTTTTATGAAAAATTGCAGGTGGCAGGCAGTATTGATTAAAGTTCTGCTAGTTTTATAAATGCCATAAGCAACCACAGTTATTTGTACATTATTTCTAAGTATTTAGATAGGTAGATGCAATTGTCTAGTATGAACACTATGTAATAAAATAACTTCATTTAAATATTAATGTGCATATATTGATTTTAATATGTAAAATCTTTTATTCTCTCCCAGAATTCTTTAAAATTGCAAAATGGAACACATTTTAAAAATTCAGATCTAGTATTATAGTATAAATTTCATGATTTCCCTTAATCTGTATTAGAAACTAAAATAACTTCAGTTTAGTTATGATGAATTTGAGCAAAAGAATGTAGATAAAATATTATCTTATGCTCCTTCATTCACTTGTTATCTAACAGTTTTAATATTTTTTCTCCTTATGTTCCATTTGAGTAGGAAGATTAAAAAATAAAACATGTATGTTTGAAATACTTAACAGGAAAGAATCTGGAGTATTTACAGTGTTATTGCAATTCAGAGAAATTAAATTTATATTTTACCAAGCTAATTAATAAGTTAATAAATTTATGGTAAATAGACAGTACCCACTGCTTATTAAAATCATTTCTGTTCCGAACATATTTGAGTTATTAAGCATCTGAGTTTATGTATTGCACATTGTGATATCAGTTTGAAAATTTTTTAAGTAAAATTATAATGAACAACTAATTCGTTAATTAATCCTGAAATACTATTTAAAAATTAATACTAAAATTAAACTATTTATGCTGTTTTGAAGTTCATTTTAAATTTTTTTATAAAAACACTTTTATAGTTATATGCGTGAGGAAATTTTTTAGTCTTACAAACAATTATTCTATCTGTGGTTGTGCATTCCCAATTTCATAAAACTGCTGATAGCTTTTATTGATCAGCGTCTTTCAGTTTATAAGGTATTTCTCCCGCCTTCCTTGGCGTGCCTTCATGGTGTAGTGGTTCTGCACGCTGGGCCGATATTCCAGAGGTCTGTGGTTCGATTTCTGGTGAAGGCATTGCTAATTTTTCAATCTCTCTTGCTTCCACAAAATACCCAATGTCTGTACAGTGCTGCCTGAACTAAAAAGTGTTGGATGAGAATTCTCCACATCCAGGATTTGGCAACTAGGTTCCCTTAAAAAACCCCAGTCACCCTTTAAAAGGCGAAATATCATATGTAAGGTATTTCTCCCACCTTCCTTGGCATGCCTTACTAAGCCGGTATTTCAGAGGGCTGTGGTTCGATTCCTGGCGAAGGCGGTTGCTAATTTTTCATCTTTTCTGTTTCCAAAAATATCCTAATGTCTCTACAAGTTAAAATTTTTTCTGAGAATTTGCAGTGCTTTTCTAAATTTGATTGATGACATGTAATCACTTTTATCTGTATCACTTTCACTGTCAGTTTCTGCAGATTTTTTTAACACTTTCATGATCAGTTTTTATGCACTCTTCAATATTGTTGTGACTTGACACATATTTTGAAGATAAATCTTCACACCTTCCCTCACTGATGTCTGAAATATTAGCTATAGTTTCCAGTTCTTCTGAGGTTTCTTCTACATAAAAGCCGCATAAAAGAAAAAAAAAAGCTTCTACATTAAAAACAAAGTCTTTGTTTTTCATAAATAGGCTGAATATGTTTTTAATTTCTGTCTTAATTAAGTTATCAACAAATGAAACAAAAATCAACTTGCATAAGGGTGCTTAGTTTGTGCATTCTCCCTTATATCACAGCACCATTTTGATGATTTTTGTCTTTTCACATAGCAATTAACTTGTATAAAAGTATAAAAAAAGTATTATTAACTTGTATAAAAATGTGTGGCATCTTTAAGCTGAGATGCCTCTATCAAGGCATCCCCCAATAAAGCTGCGGTTTACAGTATGTTAAATGGATGAGTTATGAAAGTCTTTGATAGATACTAGTAAACTATTATGGCACTGAACTCTTTTTCTAATTTGAGTTTAATGAGCAGCACAAATGAGTTTAATGAACAACAGTTTTTCTATTGATTAGTATGTATTTGTTTTGGTTTCTGCAAATTTAACATAATAAGCAGCTGAATTTATTAACCAGTGAGTTTAATAAATGATAATTGCTGTATATACATTTAAAATAGTTTGTAGATTTTCTACTTCAATTTTATAATAATTTGTTACTAATTGTGTAAAATTATTATAATTTAATAATGGATTTTGAAGGAGAGTATTGACTGACTAGTGTTTAAATCAGTATCTCAAAATTAAAGCTATTAAATAAAAATCTGTATCTACTTATTAATAAGGAATTAAAAATAAAACTTTGATTAAAGCTCTTGTTAAATTTTCTATTCAATAAATATCATTAATAGTTTTATTAATTAAATTAATTAATTATCTGAATGTTTCATTCACAATTTTCTCCTGTTTTCCATTTAATTTAAAACAAATAAGTGTTAAGAAGGATTCAATTATAGATGTGATTAGAATGCATCATACAAGACATCTATTCTAAATTTATTAAGTTTAAACTAGTAATAAAAGTTTTATGACAGAATATTAATAAATTTAAATATCCCTATTCTAAGTTAATTTAGAAAAGATTGAAGTGTTTTCTGTTGTATCAACCAATTCAAAAATTTAATGTACAGTTTCACTATTTTTGTTTGTTATGAGTATTAGTGTTTGCAAAATTATAGGCCTTTTTTATTTTACATTGTATAATATAAATATGTGGAAGAATTCTGAAATTGGAATTTCATGTTTTGTGTTTAATATTTACTGTTTGTGTTTATTATTACAGTAAGATGTTTTGAGATTCCATGCAAATTTTATTTGTAAATCAGATAAAGATTTATAAAGACATCTCTAATTAAAAAAAATAATTCAGAAAGTTTTTCTCTTAAAAAATTGACTGAGCTATAACCTGAAGTATAGAATTTTATATCAGCAAATCAAGTTATGTAATAATGCACTGAAGAATTGAAATGGAAAATGGAAATCACTCCAAATCTTTCTTGTCAGCTATCTCTGATATGCAAATATTTATTTATTTATTATTTTTTGATAATCATAGTATTAGGTTTTTTATTTTTTTTCTTTTGCTTTTAGTGATGCGTCAAAATTCAACATATTGCTTTCTGTCAGCTTTTAAAACTGAGTGTTGCAACTATTGAGTGTTCAGAATATGTTCCTTACTTACTTTCCAATATATATGGATATTTACTTCTTATTATGATTAATATACAGCTAGTTTTAAATCATTTTAACTATTAATTTTGTTTAATATTTCCATGCCATATAATCCATTATACTATGTCATACATTCCATTTATTTTATGAAATATATGCCATTCCATATATTCCATAAAATATATGTCATAATTTATATAAATCATTATTGCATTCTCTGCAAATTTCAGTTATAAAATATATTTATATTAGGGCCTTTTATATTTTTGTTACTAATTTTTTTCAGGGCATTTTAGAGGCTCTGGAGTTTTTATTAGAAAAGGGTTATCAGCCTCAAAGATCATTTTATATTGCTTTTGGGCATGATGAAGAGGTGAGCTAAATGTGCTGTTTACATGTTTTCCATCCATTTGATAATTACCATATATTCCAAGTATAACAGGCACTTTAATGCAAAAAATAAGATAGAAATTTATTTGTGTGTGTTATTCACCAGATATAAAAATGATAGATTTATAAATAAGATAGGAATACAAAAATTAGATTCCTACATACAGCTAAATGCTGTTTATTTTTAAAAAATTACACGCCTTTATGAATTTAAAAAATTTTATTATCGAATAACATGAGAAGTGCATTATATTCATCTTCCATTATAAATTCAAGTACATCATTGAATTCTGTTTCATCTTCACCACCACTGTCATTCTGGTCCATAAATAAATAATCATCATCCATTCCATCTAGATTGTTAGATATGTACTACATTTTTTAAATGACTTTGGAATTATGTGGGGTTTACTTTTATTCCTTTTATTATCCACTCACACACTACTGTGTGATACATACGGCCTCCTTTTATAAATATGTTTTCACCTTCTAACATCCATGTATTCTACTGTCATTTTAAATTTCCCTTGAATGGTTTATTGATCCATACATCTAAAGGCTGAGCTAATGGCTTTCATCCACCTGGAATAAGTGTCATGTCTGTATTACAATCTTTTAACAATTTCTTCATATTATTTATTACATGGGATCTGAACATGTTCCAAGTTGAAAGATTTTCTGAATTCCTTAAGGTAACAGAATGCTTTTGCCAAACATTTCTTATCCACAATTTTACACCATTTTCGTTCATCTGTCCTTTCTCATGAACATAAATGGAAACTCCACTTGAGAAATTACATTCTGGCATTGCCTTTCTTTTAAAAATAACCATGAATTTTAATTTTGTACCATCCACTAAGCAGAAAAGCGCTAAGGTTAGGGGAGATATTTATGACCTGTTGTTTATATGTGGATCATTTTTGTTCCTATTGCATCAGTTGTTTTATTTCCTATCATATCAAACATTACTGGAGGTTTCATCCACATTTCCAATATGTGACAATAAGTTTTTTTTTTTTTTTTTTGTTTTTGTTTTTGTGTGTGTGTGTGTGTGTGTGTGTTTGTAGGTCAATAACATATACTTCTGGAAACATTAAATTGTAGTCCAAATCTTTTGGTAGCCTATATGAAACTGTTTTTTCTTGTAAAACTACGAGGGTAACTTGAAAAATAAGTTTCCCCTGTTGACTGTGGTCAGAGTTGTATATGAAAGTCAAAAAATAGAATGAGACATTAAAGATATGACATACCTTTATTTTTCCACATAGGTACCAAGTACATTGAGACATTTGTCATATCGCTTGATAAGCTTCAAAAAGCCCTCCAGGAAAAAATCAGGGCTTTGCATATGGAAGAAGCGTTGAACAGCTTGTTTCACTTCAGTATTGCTTCCAAAGCGCCTTCCCCCGAGATTTTTCTTCAAAGCCAGAAACAGATGGAAATCGCTTGGTGCGAAATCAGGACTGTATGGCGGATGGTGTAGGCGCTCCCAACCAAGAGTTGCAATATGGTTTTGCATTGCCGTCGCCGAATGTGGTCTGGCATTGTCATCCAAAAGCAGAACGCCAGATGTGAGAAGGCCAGGCTGCTTTTTCCGAATCGCCTCTTTCAATTTCGACAGGGTGTCACAGTAGCGCATAGCATTGATGGTTCCAACCTCCAAAAAGTCCAGCAACAAAACTCCTTGGGCGTCCCAGAAAACTGTGAGGAGCACTTTACCTGCAGAGGGAGTTGTCTTGAACTTCTTTCGGACAGGTGATGACGGATGTTTCCACTCCATAGATGCGGCCTTCGATTCTGGCGTGAAATGGTGGACCCACGTTTCATCCCCCGTCACAATCCGAAACAGAAAGTCATTGCCATCTTCATGGTAACGCACGAGATGTTCCAGGCTGACCCCCATGCGTTGTTCCTTGTGTCGAGGTCAATTGTCGGGGCACCCATCGTGCTGACACTTTTCTGTATCGAAGAATGTCGTGGATGATGTTTTGAGCTCGCTCATGTGAGATTCCAAGTTCTTCCGCTACTTCATCGATGGTGATACGCCGGTTCGCTCTAATCATGTCATCCACCTTCCTGACATTTGCATCTGTAGTGGCCGTGCGCGTCCGTCCAGCTCTCGGTATGTCCTCCACTTGCTGACGTCCATCACTGAATGTGCGACACCATCTCCGCACCATTTGCTTCGACATCACACCTGGCCCATAGACTTCCACGAGGCGGTTATGAATTTCTGTTCCTGATACTCCACGTGCCCATTCATAGCGGATAACCGCTCTCACTTCCTCCTTTGACCACGAATTCAAAACGCACCTTCTCTCCATACCTACCGGGGCTCAAATGAGAGGCTGGTCTCCGCTTTGCGCAGGCACTGCAACAGCGCCATCTGCTTGATTTGCAGCGACCTCTACCCAATGGTGTATCGGTGACTTGCGCGTTTTCCTGCTGTGTCGCCTTTCGCCCATAGCCGTTCAACGCTTCTTCCATATGCAAAGCGTGAATTTTTTCTTTGGAGGACTTTTTGAAGCTTATCAAGCGATATGACAAATGTCTCAACGTACTCGTACGAGAATAATAAAATAAAGGTATGTCATATCTTTAATGTCTCATTCTATTTTTTGACTTTCATACACAACTCTGACCACAGTCGACAGGGAAAACTTATTTTTCAAACTTACCCCGTATTTTTTGCCATACCCTAATACCACTTAAAGTTTTGTTTACATTTCATTCTTTTTTTTTTTGCTCACTTTAAGGCAAATAAACGTATACTGTTTCTTGTTACAATCAATATATTCTGGCTATTTTCTAGAACTCAGTTCATCACACTTTTCTTCTAGGATAGGACATTTTGTTAATCCTTTACACAAAGCACATTTATTTTTTGACTTGCGATTTCATTTTTCTTTCAGAGATTTACAGACTTTCATTAACACTAGGCAGCTTTGCTGCAGCACAATTTCTATTTTGTTTTGAAAATTGAATGATTTTGCATTTGAAACCTGCACTTTGTTTGTTTTGTTTGACTGGAGCCATATTTACTTCTAAACGAGACACTAGATCAATTGTGTTTCAACTAAAGCAAATGTGATTTATTAGAACCTTTCTTGTTCACTTCAAAGTCGTGGCTTCAAATGACTACAGAAAGAGAAAACATTCAAATCCTAATTCTGTAAATCTATTCAGGTGGAAGTGCATTCTTACCAGTGGCATAGCGAGGGGGGAGCAAGGGGGTGTATGATGCGGCAAATGGTCTCCAAACAAGATTTTCATCATATCACTGTGTTTTTTTTCGGGGGGAGAGCATCAAAAAGGTATTTTGTCCCGGGCGCTAGTTATGCTCGCTACTCAAATAATGTCCTACTGGTTCTTACCCCAAATAATGTCCCCCTTTTCTTGAAACCATAGATTAACATTCTTGTGCACACCTTCACTGAATGCAGGCCACCTTCTTTTTAACATTTTTGTGAACACCTTCACTGAAAATACAGCCCACCTTCTTTTTAACATTCTTGGGCACACCTTCACTGAATGCAGCCCACGTTCTTTTTAGAATTATTTACTGCCTGAAGCATTTCCCTCACACATGTGTTGTTTGCCTTTTCTCTTGCCAGTTCAGTATACCATTATTTGTGAGCCTGGGAAAAATCTTCAAATTAATAGACTTCAAAAGATATATGGTTCAGGTTTCGTCATAAAGAAAAGAGTACACATTATACGGCAAATACACCTAAAAGGAAAAAATGCATTTTAAAGTTACAGGTGCACGTTATACACCAGAATACATGGGCGTAGCCAGCTCAAATTGCGGGGGGGGGGGGGGGGGGGAGGTTGCCCGTTACAACTCCTATGGCTATACTGTTCAACCTATTACAGCATCTTCAAGTATATAGGAATTATTACGTGACGAATATATTGTGTTAATGGCAGTTATCTTAATATAAATAATAATTATATTATAAATCTTATTAATAAAATTATGTAACATAATTATGGATATATTGCATTTAATTATCGTATTTATAATTATTACCTTAACAATCATTAAATGCGTAACTCAATATTTCTGTTTTTAAATTAATTAAATATTTTTATTAAAATATTAAAAGAATTATGAAATTCATTTTATTTTGGTTACATAATACAACTATAAAGATAAATGTATAAAATCCATATTTCTGTTGTATATAATAAATGTATTGAATTAAATACATCATTTATTCTGGACATGAAATTAAATTGCAAATAAAAATTTAAAAAAAAAAAGAAAAAGAAAGCAAACATTTTTCTAGCCTTTCATTTTGGTTTGGCATTTAAAATATTCTTGAATTCCACTTTCTGTGGCTGTAAACTGGCAAATACGTATATCAATAACTTTGTCAATTGATATTCCTTTCGTATAATTAATGTTCCTTAATACCAAAGAATTTCTGCTCATAGTATTCCGTCATAGTACCTCTATTATAATTTTCTAACCTTTTCAAAGCACCTGTGGAACGTTAACATTCGCAAGATATTATCGGCAGTGTAGCTGCTATGTGCAAATGCACATTAGTATTTGGTAAAAAGATTTTATTCGAAGCTTTTAAAACCAAAGCGGGTGTACCTGGGAGCTTTGCTTTGGGAATAGACATAAAATGCCGTTGTCAACATTTCGTCTCTTCTTTTAGAAGTTTCGGAGAAGGTAAATCACCTTCTAAGGCATTTTGCTTGTCTTCTTAGCATGCCTTCGTGGTGTAATAGTCAGCACTCTCGGAGCGTATTCAAGAGGACAGTTTTGAGTCCCGGCGAGGGCATGGCTCATTTTTTATCTCTCCTGCTTTAAAAAAATACCTAATGTCTCTATAGTGGCGTCTGAACTAAAGAGTGGTGAATGATGATTCTTCACTACCAGGATTTGGTGATTGGGTCCCCAAAACCTCAGTCGCCCTTTAAAAGGAGAAGTATATAAGGTATTTCTCCTGCCTTCTTAGCAAGCCTTCG